CCAGGATGGTCTCGATCTCCTGACCTCGTGATCCGCCCGTCTCGGCCTCCCAAAGTGCTGGGATTACAGGCTTGAGCCACCGCGCCCGGCTCTTTTTTTTTTTTTTGAGATGGCATCTAGCTCTGTCATCCACGTTGGAGTGCAATGGTGCGATCTCGGATCATTGTATTTTCACTTCCCTGGTTCGAGCGATTCTCCTGCCTCAGCCTCCCAAGTAGCTGGGATTACAGACATGTGCCACCAAGCACAGCTAACTTTTTTATATTTTTGGTAGAGACAGGGTTCACCATGTTGGCCAAGCTGGTCTCAAGCTCCTGACCTCAGGTGATCTGCAGCGCTGGCCTCCCAAAGTGCTGGGTTACAGGCGTGAGCCACTGCACCCAAACAAGAAAATAACTTCTTAAATGTTTTAAACACAAAAGCGGAACTACAAATCTCATCCTCTTAGAGCACATTTAAGTGCACAGGATTATCTTTATTTTTTTTATTTCTATTTTTTGGAGATGGAGTCTCGCTCTGTCTCCAGGATGGAGTGTGGTGGCGCGATCTCAGCTCACTGCAACCTCTGCCTCCCGGGTTCAAGTGATTCTCCTGCCTCAGCCTCCTGAGTAGCTGGGATTACAGGTGCCCGCCACCACGCCCAGCTAATTTTTGTACTTTTAGTAGAGACAGGGTTTCACCATGTTGGCCAGGATGGTGTCGATCTCTTGATCTCCTGATCGGCCCACCTCGGCCTCCCAAAATGCTGGGATTACAGGCGTGAGCCAAGGCGCCTGGCCAGGATTATCTTTAAAAAGGAAGGCTGGTGCCGGGTGCAGTGGCTCATGCCTGTGATCCCAGCACTTTGGGAGGCCGAGGCAGCAGGACTGCTTGAGGTCAGGAGTTTGAGACCACCCTTGGCAACACAGTGAGATCCAGTCTCTACAAAAAATTTAAAAATTAGCCTGGTATGGCAGCAGTATCTGTGGTCCCAGCTACATGGGAGGCTGAGGTGGGAGGATCCCTTATGCTTGGGAGGGCTGAGGCTTTGGTTAGCTTTGAGGGTGCAATTGCACTCCAGCCTGGGTAGGGGAGCGAGACCCTATCTCAAAAATAAAAATAAGTAAATAAATAACTAGAGTCACACAAACGTGATATAAACCCCAAGAGCTAGAAACCATGAGGTGTTCTTGGGAGGAAAGGGTGGAGCGGACAGGAGATGAGGCTGCACCTGGGAGAGTGGACTTGATTCTCACACAGGGCTGCACTCTCTGCGGCCCATGGTGTCCCATGGCTCTCACAGAAGCAAACAATATCTGTGCTGAAGAAAACCAGCTCACCACCTACATCATACAAGGTGTACCCCTCTGAAGTGAGATTCCATCTCTTTTAACTTAAAAAAACTAACTAAAAATAAACTAATCGAGCTTTTAGACTTAAAAACATAGCCACTGAAAATAAAACCTCAGTGGTTGCATTAAATAAGATTACTTCAGCTGAAAAGAAAATGAGTAAAATAGAAAGAAGACATCTAGATTGCAGCCCCGAGACAAAGACAGAAAATGGAGAATCTTTTTAGAACCGTGAAGGACAGCAGGAGCTGGTGCACCAGAGGCCAAACCAGGAGCCCCAAGAGCCTGGCCACTGGTGAGCAAGCAGGTTCTACGACAGATGGCAGATGTGGAACCTTGGGGTCAGGAGCACGGATCCCAACAATAAAAACAAACTCACCCAGAGAGACACACACAGCCCTCCAGACAAACCTGGAAGCAATAAGACAGACAGGGCTTGCACCTGCACCAGAAGTGCAACAGTGCCGACGCAGACTCCTCCCTGGAAATAGCAGCAGGGAAGGGCAATGTCATCGAGAGGGTCAAGGCATCGAGAGTGGGTGGAGGTGTGTGCTGAAAACTGCTGGTGGGAAAGAGTCGAAACATGAGCAGACGGTGTTGCAATTCAATTCAGTGGCTAGGTGAGCCTTTGCATAGGTGTGGTGTTATGACAGGTATTAGTTCCTGGCTCAACTGCCCTTGTTACAGTCTTTTGTGATAATGTTAGGTGTGTCGGGCCTCGGGGGCAGGCCTCTGACCTCCCTACCCTCCTTTCACCTGCCCTCAGGCAGGTCACTAATCTTCCCAACTTCTTGACTATGGGTTTTAAGACCCTCCCTAAAGAGGGTTCCGCCCTATGCCCTGAGGGAAGGAATGCCCAAGAGGACTGGGTTCAAGGAGCTTCCAGAAAGCTGAACACGGTAGAGGTTCACCGGGAGTTGCGACCCGGGAAGCATGGAAGCTCCATGCCCCTTCCCTGTACATACCTTGCCTGACGGTCTCTTCACCTGTATCCTTTGCACTATTCTTTATACTAAACTGATAAGTGTTTCCCTAAGTTCTGTGAGCCACTCCAGCAAATTAATCGAACCCAAAGTGGGGGTGGGGGTGCCATCACACCTCATGTAGCCCATAAATACATGTACCTACTATGTACCCACAAAAATAAAAAATTAAAACAATTTAAAAACAAAGAGGGGGCCAGGCATAGTGGCCCATGCCTATAATCCCAGCACTCTGCGAGGCCAAGGCAGGTGGATCACTTGAGGCCAGGAGTTTGAGGGCAGCCTGGCCAACATGGTGAAACCCCTCTCTACTAAAAATACAAACATTAGCCAGGTGTGATGGTATATGCCTGAAATCCCAGCTACTCAGGTGGCTGGGGCAGGAGAATCACTTGAACCCAGGAGGCAGAGGTTGCAGTGAGCCAAGACTGTGCCACCACACTCAGGCCTGGGCGACAGAGTGAGACTCTGTCTCAAAAAATAAAAATAAAAATGAAGAGGGGTTGGTGGGAACCTAACTTGAAGCCAGTCTGTCAGAAGTTCCAAGAGGCCTGGACTTGAGACTGGTGGGCGGCATCCTGGGGACAGAGTCCTCACCCTGTGGGATCTGATGTTATCTCCAGGTAGATGTTGTCAGAACTGAATCAGAGGACACCCAGCTGGTGTCTGCTGTGTGGTCTTCTATGTGGATGACTGTTGCAGTGGAGGGGAGATGAAATACACGGGTAAACCGAGTTTTTCCTAGGCAATAGGTTTTTTTCTCTACCAAACAGAAAGCAAGCCCTAAAAATAACTTTCAAGCAATCTATAGAGTGAAAAGAATTTGGGCACGGCCCAGCACGGTGGCTCACACCTGTAATCCCGACACTCTAGGAGGCTGAGGTGGGAGGACTGGTTAAGCCCAGGAGTTTGAGACCAGCCTGGGCAACAAAGTGAGACCCTGGATCTATAAAAAACAATTAGCCAGGTGTGGTAGCACAAGCCCGTGGTCCCAGATACTCGGCAGGGTGAGGCGGGAGGATTGCCTATGCCCCGGAAATTGCGCTACTGCACTCCAGCCTGGGTGATACAGCAAGAAAAAAAAGAAAGGACTGGACATGTCCCCATTACCTGCCTGCGCTCCCGGCGGGTCAGGGTGTGGCCGTTGAGGATGCGCCAGAGCATGCGTGCTGCGATCTTGGTGTCGATCCATAGCAGGCGGAAGCCATGGTAGTAGTGCTTCAGCTCGTCCAGCACCCTCTGCCCCAGGGACTTCTTCACCACCACCTCTGCGGGGGGGCTGTACACTGGGCCACCTTCCTCCAGCTTCTTGTTTTTGTCCTTCAAGGACTTGAGGGACTTCTCTACTACCGAGTCATCGCCAACAGGGCGTGAAGAGTGCCAGCTGCGCACAGGAAGGCACCGAGGTCCCATGACCACAAAACCCACAGAGGTAGAGGTCCATGGCGCTCCCAACACCGTGCGAAGGCACTCGGGTCTCAGAGTCCAACAGCCGAGGTGATCACCTCTGAAGGATGGGTACACAGGGTGGATGGAAGTGCAGCAGCCAAATGGAACATTCCTTGAAAAGGGAAGAGTAGAAAACAGTATTAAGAGCCAGCACTAGCCTTTGACAGCTCAGCACCAAACACCAACAGCAGCAAAACCCACATGCCCCGTGCCATGCCATGTCACAACCACACAGTCCCACCTACTTCCTGATGTTTGCACTGCCCCTGGGGAGCCCTTCGGAAGGGAGGCCAGGACAGCGTGCAGCCCCCTCAGCCCCACACCTCGTCGGACAGCAGCATGGGCTTGCTGATCCCCACAGAAGGGCGGGCAGGTCAGACACAAACACAATCAGCAAAGGATGGATCCCTGGGTGGGTCTCCCAGGCCCACTCCCAGAGACTTGGGGAGGTAGGGTGCATCGCTTTGGCACTTTGTGGGGGAATGGAGGGCAGAGTAGAGACTGTTGACTTTGGAGGTCCTCTCCTCCAACAAGTGACTTTCTGGAAAGACCCGTGGCTCTTGAGCAAGACTTGCAGATCAGTAAGGGCGCTCGCTGACCTCAGATCTCTACACTAGCTGCCTGCAGGCACCGGAGCAAAACAGTAAAATCCAAAGAATAAGGCCCAAAGCCCATCTCCTCCTCCTCTACGCACCTGTCCACTCTGGCACCAGCAGGCTCTGAGATCAGAGCCTCACACCTGCCCCCTTGCCTGGACATCCCTAGCTCACGCCCTTGCTTCACTCAGACCTCCCTGACCACTGCACCGCTCTGGCCTCTCATCCACAGTGCTGCCTCCTAGCAGGTGCCCTGCTGACATCTGGCCATCTTAGAGACCAGGTGCACACTGTGTGCACCACACTTGCTTTCTCCCAACCGGAATGTGGGTCTGCGAGGGCCAGAGAGCAGGCTCGAGGCCTCACAGGCGGCAGCAGGAGGCTGGCACTAACCCAGACCCATCTCGGTCCAAGCTGCATCGGCCCCAGCAGCCGCCTGTGCCGTATCCATCACAGAAAGGCCTTGAGGAGGCCACTGCAGCCCGAGCATCTGCAGCATAGACTGTGCCTGGCCCAGAGCCTACGGTTTGTGTGCAACACAGAGACTATCATTTGACTGCAGCGTGGTGCCACAACACCATTTACAGTCTAAAATTCAAACAGCTGACCTGTGCGAGGCCCTTTCAGGCTCACAATCTCCTGCGTGTCTTGCCTGGCACACTAGAAACTCCCCTGCAATTGGGCACAAATCCCCCCTGGGTGGCCCGAGCTCACCTAAAAGGCCATGTATGTCGCATAACTTCACATCAGCTCCTCCTGCTTCCATCAGTTCTCTGTGCCTGGCCTGACACCAGCGGCAAAGCTGGAGTTCCGGAGCAGACTGTTGGAGCTCAAATTCCAGCTCCACTACTTACTGCTGTGTGACCTTGACTGAGTAATTTAACCTCTCTGTGCTTTGGGAGCATTTCTCGTGAATTCGTGTGTTAATAGATACTAAGTACCAGGACAGTAACTGAGACATGGGAACACCCACCAACGATGTGGCGCCTGTGATTACCACCGCCTCACAGCCTCGGAGAAGCCACCGATCAGAGCTGGAAGCCAGGCGGGGGACTCTCCGGACCCGCTGCTTGTCTCTCAGATGGGGATACTGGGGGCCTGCAGACACAGGCCTGCCTCGGCTTGTAGCCCGGAGAGGGCAGTGCGACTGGTGCAGGGCACTGTCAGCCCAGGGCAGCTTAGAGTGAGCACACACCAGGATCAGAAGCCCAGGCAGCGGGGGCTCCTCTCTGCACCAGTAATGGTCTGGGATCTCCCACAAGAACTCTCCCAGGCTCAGAGTCTTCCCTCAATTACAGACAAGCAAACCCAACACTGACCTCATGGAAAGGTTCTCAAGAATACTGGAAACAGACACATGGAAGGTGCCTGGTGGACACCAGTGAGGTCTGGGAGGGGCAGAAAGGGGGACAGGCACCCCCCCTTGGTCACCTCCCCAATCCCTGTGAGGGCAGCTCCAGGCTCTCTCCAGGGTGGCCCAGCCCCACCCACCATGTCTCTAGGTTCTCCCCAGCTCTGGAGTCACCTCTGAGCCAGGAAGAGGCCCCTGAATCCACAGTCCAGAGTCAAGGCATGCCGAGGGCCGAGCCACACAGAATGCAGCAGAGCCCACGCAGCCTCAGACTGCCCCCTGGCCAGGCTGTGTTCCTTCTGTGAGGTGGGCTCACCTCCCAGTGTGGGTGACGACAGTGCCCGTGCATGGGAACACACCTCCTCCCTACATCAAGCTGAATTACACAACTTCCCAACCCTCAGTTAGCAAGGAAGATGGTGGCTTCCACAAGAAGGCATGATGCCAGCAGTCACGGGGTGTTGACAGGCAAAGACGAAGACTCAAAAAAACAAACCAGGCAGAGAAGCACAAGGCGGACTCAGTGAAGGCAGGGAGCCATCCAGAGTTGGACACACCCACAGGGGCCTGGTCCTCACCACAGTAACATCCCCCAGCAAATCCCATCAGCATTCACACTAAGTACAGATTTAGAAACAAAAATAGCCTCACATCAGCTGAGGTCTCCCCACTGAATGAGATTCAGGTTTGCTGGGTCTCACAACTGCTGTCTGACAGTCTGCTTAGCCAAAGTCTGGGCGCTGCTTCTCTGCCTTTGTTTCTATGGGAAAGAACGCTGGAAGCTGATACATAACGTCCATGATGTTCTCTTGGATCAAAAATACTCCGGCAGGGCGCAGTGGCTCACATCTGTAATCCCAGTGCTTTGGGAGGCCAACGTGGGTGGATCACTTGAGGCCAGGAATTCAAGACCAGCCTGGCCAACATAGTGAAACCTTGTCTCTACTAAAACTACAAAAATTAGCAGGGTGTGGTGGCACACACATGTAATCCCAGTTACTTGGAGGGCTGAGGCATGAGAACTGCTTGAAGCTGGGAGGTGGAGGCAGCAGGGAGGCAGAGGCTACAGTGAGCCAAGACCGTGCCACCACACTCCAGCCTAGGTAACAGAGTCAGATTGTCTTAAAAAAAAAAAAAAAAGCTCTATCAGCTGAGCACCATGGCTCACACCTGTAATCCCAGCACTACACGAGGCCAAGGAAGGAGGGCTGCTCAATTCCAGGAGTTCGACCCTAGCCTGGGCAACATAGTGAGACCTTGTCTCTACAGAGAAAAAAAAAAAAAAGGCCAGGCGTGGTGGCTCACGCCTGTAATCCTAGCACTTTGGGAGGCTGTGGCGGGCGGATCACAAGGTCAGGAGTTTGAGACCAGCCTGGCCAATATGGTGAAACCCTGTCTCTACTAAAAATACAAAAATTAGCCGGGCGTGGTAGTGCATGCCTATCATCTCAGCTACTTGGGAGGCCGAGGCAGGAGAATCACTTGAACCTGGGAGGTGGAGGTTGCAGTGAGCCAAGACTGTGCCATTACACCCCAGCCTAGGCGATAGAGTGAGACTCCGTCCCCCGCCGCCCAAAAAAAATGATCCACCTACTCACCCTCAGAGATCTGGGCCATTTCAACTGAGGATTACCTGCATCTGTAAAATAACTGTTTAAAAAAACTAATGTAAATGGTTACGATTTATAGCTACTTGTCTGGTGACTCCAGGTGTTTATACTGTGTGACCAAAATAAAAAGTAAAAGTTTTTGGCTGCTGAAACATTACCACCATCCACAATTCTTTTTTTTTTGAGACACAGTTTTGTTCTGTCACCCAGGCTGGAGTATAGTGGCACAATCTGGGCTTACTGCAAGCTCTACCTTCCAGGTTCACAAAGTTTTCCTGCCTCAGCCACCGAGTAGCTGGGATTACAGGCATGTGCCACTACACCCAACTAATTTTTGTATTTTTAGTAAAGATGAAGTTTCACCATGTTGGCCAGACTGGTCTCAAACTCCTAACCTCAAGTGATCTGCCTGCCTCAGCCTCCCAAAGTGCTGAGATTACAGGCATGAGCCACTGCACCTGGCCTCATCCATAATTATTATACATATATTTTTGAGACAGACTGTCCCTCAGTTGCCCAGCCTGGAGTGCAGTGGTGTGATCCTGGCTCACTGCAACCTCCACCTCTTGGGTTCAAGTGATTCTCCTGCCTCAGCCTCCCAAGTACCTGGGATTACAGGTGTGCAGCATCACACCCAGTTATTTTTGTATTTTTAGTAGAGACGGGGTTTCACCATGTTGGCCAGGCTGGTCTTGAACTTCTAGCCTCAAGAGATCTGCCCACCTCAACTTCCCAAAGTGCTGGGATTACAGACGTGAGCTACTGTGCCTGGCCTCATCCATAATTCTTGATAAGTAAACAAGTCCATCAAAACAGCTGTATAGTCCTCATTGTTTAAATTTTCAAGTAGACGTTCAAAACTGGGAACTTTAAAAAAAGTTACGTGACTAAAGTACAGTTTTTATGTTTTGTTGCTGTTGTTGAGGCGAGTCTCGCTCTGTAGCCCAGGCTGGAGTGCAGTGGCGCCATCTCGGCTCACTGCAAGCTCCGCCTCCCGGGTCCCAGTTCAAGCAATTCTCCTGCCTCAGCCTCCCAAGTAGCTGGGATTACAGGAACATTCCACCATGCCCAGCTGATTTTTAAATTTTTATTAGAGATGGGATTTCACCATGTTGGCCAGGCTGGTCTTGAACTCTGACCTCGTGATCTGCCCACCTCAGTCTCCGAAAGTGTTGGGATTACAGGTGTGAGCCACCGTGCCCGGCCAGCTTTTGTTTTAGTATGAAATTTAAATGCTAAAAAGTTGCTGGACAAATTCAACATCCATTCCTAATAAAAAGAGTAACAGACAGAACAAAGATTACTTAAACCCAAAAGCTAACACCATATGTCACAAACACTAGATTCTGTATTTTCTGCTATTGTGATACTGCATGACTGACTACAGCTGCTCTGACACAGATCTGGCTACTGAGCTAAGAACTGAAACCACCCCAGAAGCAGAAGCCCTGGGAAAGAAAAGGCAGATGATTACTGTGTACTAAAATCACAGCCATAAACTAAACCTGGGCTGCTACAAGAGCTGAACAAATAACAGGAAAGGGGTCAGATACAA